CCCACCCAGGTCCATGGCCCTGAGCATACCTCTGCCCACACCCCTAAGGACACCCCCACCCAGGTCCATGGCCCTGAGCATACCCCTGCCCACACCCCTAAGGACACCCCCACCCAGGTCCATGGCCCTGAGCATACCCCTGCCCACACCCCTAAGGACACCCCCACCCAGGTCCATGGCCCTGAGCATACCCCTGCCCACACCCCTAAGGACACCCCCACCCAGGTCCATGGCCCTGAGCATACCCCTGCCCACACCCCTAAGGACACCCCCACCCAGGTCCATGGCCCTGAGCATACCCCTGCCCACACCCCTAAGGACACCCCCACCCAGGTCCATGGCCCTGAGCATACCCCTGCCCACACCCCTAAGGACACCCCCACCCAGGTCCATGGCCCTGAGCATACCCCTGCCCACACCCCTAAGGACACCCCCACCCAGGTCCATGGCCCTGAGCATACCCCTGCCCACACCCCTAAGGACACCCCCACCCAGGTCCATGGCCCTGAGCATACCCCTGCCCACACCCCTAAGGACACCCCCACCCAGGTCCATGGCCCTGAGCATACCCCTGCCCACACCCCTAAGGACACCCCCACCCAGGTCCATGGCCCTGAGCATACCCCTGCCCACACCCCTAAGGACACCCCCACCCAGGTCCATGGCCCTGAGCATACCCCTGCCCACACCCCTAAGGACACCCCCACCCAGGTCCATGGCCCTGAGCATACCCCTGCCCACACCCCTAAGGACACCCCCACCCAGGTCCATGGCCCTGAGCATACCCCTGCCCACACCCCTAAGGACACCCCCACCCAGGTCCATGGCCCTGAGCATACCTCTGCCCACACCCCTAAGGACACCCCCACCCAGGTCCATGGCCCTGAGCATACCCCTGCCCACACCCCTAAGGACACCCCCACCCAGGTCCATGGCCCTGAGCATACCTCTGCCCACACCCCTAAGGACACCCCCACCCAGGTCCATGGCCCTGAGCATACCCCTGCCCACACCCCTAAGGACACCCCCACCCAGGTCCATGGCCCTGAGCATACCTCTGCCCACACCCCTAAGGACACCCCCACCCAGGTCCATGGCCCTGAGCATACCCCTGCCCACACCCCTAAGGACACCCCCACCCAGGTCCATGGCCCTGAGCATACCTCTGCCCACACCCCTAAGGACACCCCCACCCAGGTCCATGGCCCTGAGCATACCCCTGCCCACACCCCTAAGGACACCCCCACCCAGGTCCATGGCCCTGAGCATACCCCTGCCCACACTCTGGCCCAGGCCACAGCCCAGGCTCTCTTGCATACCTTAGCCTACTCTCTGAGCCACACAGGTGAGCACATAACAGTTCACACCCCAGCCAGCAACCCTGCTCCTCTAACCCTTACCCATGACCACACCTTGGTCCCTCCCCCAACCTCTGCTCCAGACCCTCCTCTAACTTCTGCCCCTGCTACTACTCCTGCCCCAGCCCCTAAACCAGCCTCTGTTCCAATATCTGCTTCAATCCCTACCCCAGCACTGGTCATGGCCCAGACTACCACTCCAGTTCCTACTCCTATCCCTACCTCCACTCCTACCCACAGAACAACTCCTATTCCCTCTACCGTGACTGCCTTCAGCCAAGACCTCTCCACTAACCATGTGGTCCATGATGCCCACACAGTAAAGCAGAACTTATTCCATGGGTGCCCCACCCAGGACACTGGGTATTCCAAAAAGGACTTGGATACTGTCTCCAGGCTCCAAGACAGGCAGGGCCTGGTAAACTCTGGTAAAGCGGAGCAAACATCGAAGCAACTTAGTGGGGACACTGCCAAGCCTTCCACAGGATCCATACTGGGTTACCTGGAGTTGGGGAATATGGAATGGAAGACCTCAAACGATGCCAAAGACAAATTCTTACAGCCCAAGACCTTCCCTTATTGCAGCTTCCATCCTTGCAGTTCTGAGAGGACAAACACAGACTCCCAGCCTACAGTCTATTCCGAATTCCTGGTCTACTCCAAGGATGCTTCACCTTCTCAACCTTGCTTTCATTTTCCAACCGGTGCCCAGAACTCGATGTGCACCTCTCCTTCACCATGCACTCTTTCTTTCCCTCTTGTTTCTCCCAGATCCTTTGTTTTTCAGCATCCTACCAACCACCAGGTGAAGCCCTCCACCTCAAAACAAACCCCAACCTTATCTCCAACCTCCAAGTCTCCTCAGTCCATACCCTCTCCCCAGTTTCCCATCCCTTCCCAGTTCTCCACCATTTCCCAACCTCAAATTCAACCCCAATCTCCTGAAGTTCATGAGAGTCTAGTCCTCAACCAAGACTCTGGCCTGCAAAGAACCCCAGGCCCTTCAAAAGACTCTAGAGTTTCCAAGAACCCAGGCCTTACCCAATGCCCTCATCTCTGCAAGAATCTAGGGCCTTCCCAAGACTCTAGCCTTCACAAGAATCCAATTACCAAAGAATCTGCCCCTCAAAAGAGCCTAGGTCCTCCTCAAAATGTAGGTATCTTTAGGAGTCCATGTCTCACCCAACCCTCTGGCCTCCATAAGAACACACTGTTTCCCCAAACTTCTGACATTCAGAGGAGCTCAGGCTTTGTGCAAGACTCTGGAGTCTGTAGGAATCCAAAACAAAACCAAGAGACTGTACTCTACAAAAGTCATATCTCCCAAACAATTGGCCTCCATAAGAGCCCAGGCCTTTCTCAAGATTCTGGAAGTTACAAGAGTACAGGCAATGCCCGAGATCCAGGAGTCTGTAGGAGTCTAGGCCTTACCCCAGATTCTGGCCCACAAAAGAGCCCATGCCTTGTCAAAGACTCTGAAGTAAACAAGAGTTCAGGTCAAGAACCTTGTCTCCACAAAAGCCCAGGCCTTGCCCAAATTTCAGGCATCCATAAGGGTTCAGGCCTCACCAAAGACTTAGGAAACTACAGAAATCTGGGCCTGACTCAAGATTCTGACCTCCATATGAATCCAGGCCTTACCAAAGCCAATGAAGTAGAAAAGAGATGTGGCCTTACCCAAGATGCTAGAATTTACAGAAGCCCAAAACATACCCAAGACCCTAACTTCCACAAGCACCCAGGAATTAATCAAGATCCTGGCCCCGATAAGGGCCCAGCCCTTACCCAAGACTCTGCCTTCCCCACGACTCAAGGCCTTACCAAGGAATCAAGCCTCCACAAGGACTCATGCCTTATCCCAAATCCTGACGACCATAAGGACCCAGCCTTTGCTCTAGGTATTAACTCTTTCCAAGTCTTGGGTCCATCTCGGAACCCAAAGTCCTCAGTGTCCTTGATGAAGTCATTTGTATCTGAGGAGTCTTCTCGGAAGGAGAATGCAGAGCAGCATCTCCCACAGACTTCTGACCCACTCAGTCAGTACTCCTGCCCTTCCAAGACCCAGGTGATCTACAATGACCTGCAACACTTCCCAGAGTTACCTATTTTAATAGAGTTACAACCATTCTCCCAGGAAGTAGGCAGCCAAGACTGGGTGTACCATCCTGTGGATACAGTTCCTCCAGCCTGCCAGAACTATCGCCAGATGTCTATGCCTCCCAAAACCAACTGGAAGACTCACTGTCCTGGGCCAGACACCCGGGTTGGGCATGTAGTCTTTGATGCCCACCAGAGATAGTTCGAAATGGGCAGAGACAAGCGTGAAGCTCTCTCTCCCAAGGGTTTTCTCCAAGAGGCACCCAGCCACTCAGTGGAGACCAATGAGTGGGGATATCAGTGTGTAATGAGGCCCTTGGAAAAAGAGGGGACAAAGGTGCCTCAGGAATAAAGAGTCAAGAGAAGTGTTTTGTGATTGTTTGAGGACATCCACCCCAGCCCATTCCCGACGCTGGCCCCTGTCAGGCCCTGATGAGGACTGAAACTGTACTTGCCCCGGCTTCTCCATAGCTGCAGAGCTAAACCCATTATCCCCAAGGCCCTAGAGCTGCATTTGCCAACACAGTGGTCACTGGCTACCAATGGCTTTTAGAATGTAAATTAAAATTTAAAATTATCTTCCTTTGTTTCATTACTTATATTTCAAGTGCTCAACTGCCATAGGGTGGCTAGCAGCTACTGTATTGGACAGCACAGATTTAGGACATTTTCATCATTACAGAAAATCCTATTGGACAGCAATGCTTTAGAGTTAGAGAAACTTTCCTTTCCCTTGTCACCCATCCCCAGCATCTTCAACACTCCCACAGAGCCCAGAGAACTTATTTCTTTTTAGAGTGTCTCAGAGGCCACCCTCTGGGGAGGAGGTAAGATGTAGGGATGTTAGGTGCCTGATTACCCCAGACTGCGAGAAAGAGCCCAGTCTTCAATTTTCCTGATCTGGTCTCTTGGGTCACAACCAGATGTATGGAAATCTGCCTCTCCAGTTCTGGGCTATGTTTTGGGGCTCTGAGTTGCTGAGGAAGAGCTCTCTTTGTCAGTGACTAGGAACTCCTGAGATCTGGGCTTCCCAAATTGGACTCTGGATTCTGAGAGTCCTTTCCTTTACAGGCCTCTACTTTTTCTAGGTGTTCCTGCTTAATTCTCTTGTCCATGGACTTAGGCCTGTCTCACTCCAGAGATAGTCCCCAGGGAAAAGGGAATGTAGGAAGTCCTGGTCCAGCAATTGATAGGTCTGATCTATTAGACTGTCCCTGGTTTCCTATCTTTTGTCCCATTATTCTGGCTCCTTGTGTCATCCTGGACTTAAACTGTGTCCCTGATAGCATTGGTTACTGAAAACAATTTTATTCCCTGTAATTTCCCTTTGCCCTGCCCCCAGCCCAGCTGAGAGTTTCCTCCAGATTTTTCAGTCCTGATAACTCTTCTGTGTACACAACAGGTATGATATCCCAGAGTGTTTTCTCTGCCACCACGCTGGTGTATCTGAGGTGGATATCATTAATATGTCCCTTCCCTGAGTCAGATGTCCATCCCTGAGTCACCACCTGTGTGTTCTTGCCTAACACTACTATCACACAGATTTCAAGGGGAAATCACCCAGCTGTGGAGCCCCTTTCTAACACTCTTCCAGCTCAGCTCTGACCTTGGACCAGTCATGTGTAGCTCTCTAGGATTCAGTCTCATCTCCAAAATGAAGTTATAATTACATGGAAGGACCCTTCTGGATCCAAATGACCAGGGATCCTCTACTCACATGGGATACAGGGACCCCTATTTTTCCCCAGGCCCTAAGGTATGTCCCCCTTTATTGTTTGCTATTCAGATCTATCCTATTAGCCCTCTACTCCAACCCTAAGGAATGTTTGTGTAGGGCTGACCTGGGCTTGGAAAGAAACAGAACAGTTTATCTCCATAGAAACTGCAACTTCAACCAGGCACTTCAGAGGAACAGTAAAGGATGTGGGGGTGTAGCCTCAACGCTCTGGTAGCGCGGAACACAAACTGCAACTCCCAGGATAGCGCGAGATCGGAAAAGAGCAAAAGGAGTGTTGACAGGCGGAGCCGGCTCGGAACCACCCAGCCAGCCTCTAGAAAGGGGCGTGGCTCTGAGTGAAGGGCGTGGCGTTGCGCACAGCAGGAAGGAGTTACCTGTTGGATTGTTCTATCCATTCTTTTCCCAGCTCTAGCAATTATCCCTAAGCAGGAAGCCGCAGACCGTAAGCCTTTTCGGAAAAAGAGGTAAGGGGGAGGCAGACAGGGATGGCGGAGGAGACTGGCTATTACATTACGGAGGCGCGGTGAGTCAGGTGAACCGGTCCATGGGGGCGGGGACCAGAATATGAGAAAGGGCAAGGACAGACTAGGTATTTATTTGGTCGTTTTCAAGCCTAAACATACAGCCCTTTACCTGCAGACCCTTTGGCGTACTTGTCTGGGGCACTCGCTCGGCCTCGGGAAGAGAGAAGGGAGGCGACTTTTCGGCAGCGAAGGAACGGCCGGGCTAGGCTTCCTCTAGTCTGTGTTCTCCCTACCCTGAAACGATAGAGCCGGATGGCTTCCGCGGTCTGGGGGAGTGCCCCCTGGTGGGGCCCGCCGCCCCCGGCCCCAGCCCGCCCGCTCACGGACATCGACTTCTGCTCTGGAGCCCAGCTCCAGGAACTAACCCAGCTTATCCAGGAGCTGGGAGTACAGGAGAGCTGGAGAGACGGGCCCAAGACTGGACCAGACCTCCTACGGGCCAAGGACTTTGTTTTTTCTTTACTTAGTAAGTAACCCTCCCCGCCTTCAGAAACTCGGAGCTCTCAGCCCCGCCCCGGCACTGTGTCACGTTCTCACAATCCCTTCTCTTCCCGTAGGTCTAGTTCACCGCCGAGACCCCCGCTTTCCTCCCCAAGCAGAGCTCTTGCTGCTTCGTGGCGGGATTCGAGAGGGCTCCGTGGATCTGGGGCCTTCACCCCTAGGTCCCTATGCCCGGGGACCTCACTACGATGCCGGTTTCACACTACTGGTGCCCGTGTTTTCTCTAGATGGCACTGGGCACGAGCTGCAACTGGACATGGAATCTTATGCCTGGCTCTGCCTGCCAGAATTGATGCACGGAACCTCGGTCCGAAAGGCATGGCAGGATTGCCTAGGACCCCCAGTCCCAGGAGGACGTGATTCGATCCCCCAAACCGAAAGCGAAGAAAGTCCCAAGAACCAGCAAATCTCCGTGGACCAACCGCACGGTTACGTCACTGAGCTTGAGCTGCAAGTGTCGTTGGAAAAGTCACCTAGTAACGGTTCTGGGCCCGAGTCGCTTCGGCAAGATTTAACTGATCTTGGCTTTCCCGCACCGCTGAAAAAACTGAATGGTGACGTCACCAAAGCAGCCTCGGATAGTTCAGTCCCAGAGCCCTCGGAGGCTCCAGAGGCGTGGCCCACGTTGTGCCCTGCCAAGGTGGCTGCATGGTTCTTTGCTACGCTGGCTGAGGTCGCCGAGTCCCTGATCCCGGTCCCGGGTGCCCCGCTCTTGGTCCACGCAGCCCGTCACGCGGGGTTCACCACCATCCTCCTGGCTACTCCTGGGCCCCCACGCCGCCTCCTGCTTTTCGACCTGGTCCCCGTGGTGTCCGTGGCTGGCTGGCCCGAGGGGGCTCGGAGCCACTCGTGGGCCGGCCCGCTGGCCTCCGAGTCATCCTCCTTCTACCTGGTGCCTGGCGGCGACATAGAGCGACCGGGCGCTTCCGGCTGGCGGCTGTGCTTCGCCCGCCAGGAGTTGGCGCTCAAGGAGCTCATACCCGCCCCGCTGCTGCAAGCGCACGCGGCTGCCCAGGCGCTGCTGCGCCCGCTGGTGACCGGGACCCGGGCCGCGGCGCCCTACCTTCTGCGGACGTTGCTCTACTGGGCTTGCGAGCGACTGCCCGCGCTCTATCTGGCACGGCCCGAAAATGCAGGCGCCTGCTGCCTGGGGCTGTTGGATGAGCTGGGCCGTGTGCTCGAGGCCGGGACTCTGCCCCACTATTTTCTGAGCGGCCGAAAGCTCTGGGCAGGGGATGGCGCTGCTACGCTGCTCGTGGCGTTGGCCCGGCTTCGTGGGGACCCTGCTCGGGCTCTGTGCGCCACGGTGGAGGAGGCCAAGACTGCGCGCAAGGGGGGCGGCTTAGCTGGAGTGGGAGGCGGGGCCCATTAAAGCCTACTCCTACCAGCATGTAAAGTGCTCACTACCTCACTTGGGAGACAGACTTAGCACCCTGGACCTGAAGATCCCGTTCTAGAAGGGATCCTTGAGAATTCCTTCTTCCCGTCATTCTACTCGCCTCCCGCCCCATCCTGGTACAGGTGGCCCCATTCTGGCTTCTCTGCTCTCCAAATATATGGCCAGCATCCCTCGTGCCCTGGTACATCCTCTGGTAACCATCTCCCCCCAGTTCTTACGGTCTTTTTGGAGTCAGTAGGAACTGGCGGCGGGGGGTGGTGGTGGTGGAACATATTTGCTGACAAAACGTGCAAAGGAGAGCGGCGTGGTGACCAGAGACAAACCAAATTTGGCTTCCGCAAAAGCAAACATTAAAGAGGCCGGATTTCGCCTGAGGCTAGATCTCGACCCCCTCCCCTCCCCCGCCCCAATCTCTTAGTTATTACCCTCACTTTTCCTCATTCAGTTCTGTACTCCCATCCCGGGGAGTAGGGTCCCTTTTTCCACTCTCCGGTAGTCCACCCTTCCATTTATCTTAAGCCCAACCTCTCCCCCCATCCAGGGTTCCATTCAGTGGAGTCACCTCCTGGTCCCTCCTTTGAACCCCGAGACATGCGGCCTTGCCTCAGCTCCCCCTGCTTCTAAAGACCGTCCCCACTCCCTGCCTCCAAGGAACCCCGGGGTTCCACCCGCCCAACTGCACCCCCCTTTCCCGGCGTCTCCGCCCCCTGCCCCGCCCCCAGGCTGGCTCTCAGGGAAGTGGGAGCTGCGGTTGCCGCCGCCGCCTCAGCTTCCCACTGTCGCTGCTGCTACTGCTGCCGCCGCCACCGCCGCCGCACTTGGTCCAGCCGCCAGGCCCAGTGCTCTGATTTTACCCGGCCGGGGCGCTCTGCGGAGACACCCTCACTCTTTGGGGGGCCCGGGGCCCTTACCAGGCGTGGAGGGAAGCTCCGTTTGCGGGGGACTGGGAGGGAGGAGCCTGGAACCGGGGCCAGCACCACCCGTCGCGGGATCAGCAAGACAGGACAGGTTGAGGGGCGTCGGGGAAGGGGGGTGCTGTAGGTAGTCCCAGGGAGGAGGAAGCCCTGTAGCAGAAAGCTCTGATGCACTCTGACTTGTAGGGGGCCTGTTCACATTTAGGAACTGGTGACAGCATGGGTGCACTCCTCTCTTGGGGGGGCTGGTTGGATCGCAGGGCGTGGGATCTGAACAGCACCAGCTGTCCCCAAGGAAATTAAGGGGCAGCCAGAACCCCCCGCAAAAAAACCCCAATGCTCCTTATTTCCAGGTTGACAGAGGGCCCTCCAGACAACCACCTGGTGTATCCACTAGGAAGGGTGGATTTGGAGGTGACTTCAAAAATAGTGGAGGGTAACAAGGTGAGGAAAAGGGCTCAGCAACTTGAACCCTGTGTCACTAGAAATGGGGGTGACTTGGTGGAAAAAAAATGTATTGTCCAGAGACAGAGTCTGGGAATCCGTTCTCACTGAACAGGAACAGCCTGGATATTCTGAGACATAGTTTTGGGGTACTTTAGTGAAAAAAAAGTGGGGGATTCTCTTCGCTTGGAGAGTGGGAAAAACACCAAGGTTGGGTTCTTCCCTGACATTGGCAGTGCCTCAGTAGGGGTGGGGTGAGCTAATATCCTGAAAGCTAAGGATCCACAACCTTTAGATTGCAATAGTGGATTTGGGAGGAGTACAGGGGCCCTGAAATAGGGTGGAAAGGTGCCTGGGGATATTGGAACCACATATTGGAAATTTAGAGGGTTTTGACTTTGGGATAGGGGAAGTGGGGACAGGGATACTGGAGAGCAGGGGAGGGGCTAGTTTTCAGTAGGGGGCAAAAGTCCAGGGTGGGGTTTACTGAGAGGTACACAGGCCGCTGGGTCCAGGGGAGCTAGCACGGGGGCTCAAGGGTGAGAGCTGGAGGGGGTGTGCTGAGGCTTATCCTAAGGTGCTGTGGGTGGGGTGGTTAGTCGGGAAAGAGCGTCAAAAGCATGCCGTGGTGAGCGGACTTCTCTGGGGGAGCCCAGCGCGCTCCCAGCGCCTGCTGGTTTGGGGGTGTCTCCTCCCGGGGCGCCATGGCGGCGCTGGCTAGTAGCCTGATCCGGCAGAAGCGGGAGGTCCGCGAGCCCGGGGGCAGCCGGCCCGTGTCGGCGCAGCGGCGCGTGTGTCCCCGCGGCACCAAGTCCCTTTGCCAGAAGCAGCTCCTCATCTTGCTGTCCAAGGTGCGACTGTGCGGGGGGCGGCCCGCGCGGCCGGACCGTGGCCCGGGTGAGTGGCTGGGGCGGGGTCTCTGGGACTGGGGTCTCTGCCTGGGAGGTTGAGGAGAGGGGCTCTGAAGCATGGAGCCCGACTGAGGGAGGCTCCCGGAAAGTGAAAAGGGGTGGACCAAGACAACAAAGTCTGCCAGTCTATGCCTCAGTTTCCCTTCTCTTTTGCCGGTAACCCGATTCTCCTTGCTTTCGAGAGCAAGGGGAAGGCTT